TACTCCACCACTTTACCCAAACAGTCCACATGGACAGACTTTTTTCATATAGTTTGTGGTCTTCTCTCTGGAGCAGAAGCTTTATGTGGTGAGATCTCTATCATCTCACTCCTCCTCCTTTTCTCTTTCATCGTGCTCTCCCTCAGTCCTGTAAATGGTCAGATAATGGACACTAATTCCATCAGCCTGTCCTCGCTGCACTAATGCATCCCACTTCCTGTCTGTGATGGACAGATAGACAGATGCAGGGAGGAGAGAAACCAAACTGAGAGAAGGAAGTGAAAAGGAGGAATAGGAAGGGCTTGTGGGATTTGATTGTGTATGTGGTTGTAGTAAGAGGGGTTGGTGGGGGGGGTAGGGCGAAATGTAGGCAATGTGATGAGGAGTGAGAGAGTGAGAGATTTGATGTACATATGGAGGGAGGGAGAGAGAGAGAGCTGCAGCCTGACACTGATGGTTTCAGGATAACAAGCTGATTTATGAAGAGTATGTGATGGGAGGGGTGGAGGGTTTGCACTCATCTCCCCAGATAAAACCACATGCAAACAGACTGTATTTGGCTACATGCACACATGCACAGGCACACACACACACATACACACCTCTAGTCTCTCTATCGTCTGATTGCATCAGTCAGAGAGATCGCTGCACAACACAAACATCACTGAGAGTTTTTTTTTTTTTTTTTCCTCTCATGTCTTAGCTCTTAATCGCGTCATGGTTCTGACTCCAGATAAAAACATTTGGCTGTTCTGATGCTGCACTCACATGTCCTGTTAACTCATGTCACATGTGTTTGGATGAGATGAGATCTCAACACAGTGTTGAGATGAGATCTCAACACAGAGAATTCAGGCCAAGTTACATTAAAATGTCATGGCTTCATCAGCATTTATGGCACATTATGACCAGCCTGTGGGCAGAGATGGATTGAGCCTTAAAAAGAGCAGCCTATCCAGCACAATAGCAGTGGTTGTTTACTACCAGGGCAGATCATGATAGAAAATGTCAAGTTGAAAAGTTAGATTACAGTCTGAACCACTAGTTCCACGTGTCTCTTCTCTATAAGTACAAAGATTCATTTGCAAAATGGCTAAAGTTGCTAGCCAACTTTGGGGAGTTAGTGGCCAGGAAGCTACCCACAGGTCAGGAGTTTGGTAACCCTGCTCTTGCTCGTTTGGCTCTAATTGTGTACGTTATTTTGATATTGTGTTTTTTTGTAGATCTTAGGGGATGTAAGGGAAACTGTCCTGCTGATGACACTGTTCCAAAATACATCAACTACTTTATAGGTGATGCTCTTTAAGAGGACCGACCATGAATAAAAATGCATAGAATAATAATCCTTATCACATTAAAAATGATGAGGATGACATCTGAGTGTTACTTCAAATGTCTCCCTCTCTCTAAATGCCAACCTCATCGACAGAAAGACATGGCATCTATCGTCGAGGCTTTTTTTACGTTCAGCAAAATGTCAGGAGTCATAAAAGTCCTGCTCTTTTTCTCAGAAACACTCAGACATGATGGCAGAACGATGAGGGTAAAAAAAAAGTACAATTTGTAAGTGATGCAGAGGCAACAGCGTTTTACAGTAGAGAAGGATTTGTGTGAACACAGGCTCTCATGTCACCAGCATCTAACTTTAGATCTGGATTATGTCCAGATTATAGGACTCTGTGGATAATCCACCAGGTGGATGATGATGAGTTGACTCTCTGAGCAGTCAAGCTGCTACTTTCATGCTACAAGTTTTTTGTTTTTTTGTTTTGATAAGGAGAACATGAATGAGAATGCTATTCTGAAAATTTAAAAAAACTTCCCCAAGCTGTGTCTGGTGGGAAAAATCATAAAGACCAAAATATTATGTTGAGATCTCCAGCAAAAAAATAGAATGACTTTTGATTTTGTTTTGTTTTGTTTTGTTTTTTTTACATTTCAAATTAATGCGTTTTCATTTCTGAGTCTTTAAGTGCTTTTTCATATTCATGTCGCGTCCTCGGTCAGTGATGTGTCACTGCTGAAGGTAAACAAACTTGAATAAAATGGTGAAACCACTTGAGTTTGTCTGCGGCCGTTCAGTTTGTCCCCGGAGCTCCTCATCACTCTGTCTGTAGCACTTGAGATCTGCTTGACCAACAATCAGTCACAAGGTTGAATGATCGATAACAGTCTGCAGTGGAGTAGAAAAAAAAAAAAAAGGAAGCAGCTAAAGCGTCCACTAAAGAGCTGGACGACAGGGCTGACGCAATACCGAACTTAGAAAAATAACTCATTAAAAAGGACATGTGCTGCTGATGTGCTGCTTCATTAATGTTTGGCTGCGTGAGCTAACGCTGTGGTGACCGAGAAACTAATATAACATCTATCTATCTATCCATTCATCCATCCATCCATCCATATATACCGTAAATACATACATAAATACATATGCGTGCGAGTCAGTAATCTTCTCTCTCCGAAGTAGGGGTTTTAAAATCTGAACGAAGGAGTAAAGTGTATCTGTGGTTGTGTGTTAATCCTCAGAGGACCAGCTGTAATCTGTTGACCTCTCTGTTGGTGCACTCGGGCACACACACTCAGACACACAAACACACTCAGGCAGACACACACAGGACTTTCCCGTTGAAGATACCCACAGCTAAAACATCTTTGACCATCAAAGTGGAAGATTGTACAACGCTACTGTTCACTCACAGTACACACACAAAACATAACCCTGACCTCAATTCAGTGTGTATGAGAAGATATAGCCACTTACACACTCCCCTGCTCACTATCAGCACCTCTCACACACACAGACTTACACACATGTACACACTGGGTGGCAGTAGCCTGCAGGCGTTCGGGCAGCTGTGAATAATTGTGTTTACAGACGACACACGTGCGACCTGTGGGTTTGAGAGAGAAACAGTTGGTCGTGTTGGCCTCATAAGAGGAGACTGGGATGACATTTAAACCCAGCCTCTCTCTCTGCTCTGTATTTTTATTCATATGTCAACGACTTTATTTTCATCGTTTTAATTGGCATAAGTGGTGTTAAGAGCCAAAGCTGAAACAATAAGCTGTGACATACATTAAAGAAAGAAAGAAAAAAAAAAAAGAAAGTGTGTGTGTCTAAAACTAATTTGCTGTGAAAGTACAGAAATAGAGAACCTTATTTTTACCAAAGGGATAATTAGCTGTAAAAGTGACACAATAAATGCCAACAGCTGCTGTGTCATGATGTAATCTCAGTGCTGTGAGTGTACAATGTAGAGAAAATGACCAATGATAAACAGCCATCTGACTGCTAATGTATAATACACTGAATTAGTTTGTTTTTGAGAGACATTTCATGACATTTAATTTGGACAGATGTTTTTCGTTCTAGCCATGGGTGCCTTTTTTTATTTATAATTTACAAAGTAATTCACTTAGCTGAATACGTACTTCAGCCTTTATGGAACAACAACGGCGTTGCATATTAGCATATGATTTTGTTTCATGCCTGACTGAGTTGATACATATAGGAAGTCAAGCAGTAAATGTGACTCAGTGTAATCTGGGAACAAAGAAAAGTGTTTATTCTACAGCTGACTGCCTATGCTAAGGCTTAGCAGCTAAGACAACTATCGTCAATGTGCAACAACAAGAGTTGTGAGTTGAGTTAGTTTGAGTTGTTCCATGGTATGATGTTTAAATGAATGTGAGCTACTTATCAATGTGCTATTAAGTGTCATATAAACAAAATTTAAAAAAATACATTGCAACAATTTTGAAAGTGTGTTTTTAGATTTGAATTTGTTTTATTAGGCTATTCATGTACCAAATAATTGATGTTCTGAATACCAGAAACATTATTAACATTGCTATGGTTACTACAACGCTTACTTGATGCTAATGATATGCTAACAAGAGGTAAAATTAACTTCTTGTCTCGAAGTAGTTTGGCATTTGTGGCATTAGAAAAAGGGAAGTGGTAAGGTATTAGCTACAGGTGGACAGCTTTTTTTATATACAAATGAAATGTATTGGCCATGAACAAATTCAGTATTTTTATAACTACACTTGTAATACTGAAAATCTGGTGAAAATCACACAACATTTACACGAAAAGCATGCATTTGATAGTGAATTTTTATGCACATGTTGACGAAGCACTATTTGCATCTTCCGCAGTCTTTCACATCTGCTAACGGGCTGCAGTTAAATGGCTAAGACAGCAGTTCCTGCAGCCTGTTAGCATAAGGAATAAGTTTCATGCAGCTTCCTGCACATGATGAACAGCGGCAGACATATAATATAGCATATCAGCACACTTACATAATGACTGGCTGACAAAATGCTAACAGCTGCAGACAGCGGCAAAGTATTGAGTTAGCGTATTCTCAGCTAGCCTCCCTCTGTGGCTCTATAAGTGGAGCTGATGGAAGGTTGGACTCAATATGATTTACATAATTGGGATGTTAATTCGTTAAGCTGTGGGAGTTGATTATGTTGCATATTGATTGTGTTGTGCCGCTGTGAGGTCGCACACCTCTTTAACAAAGGTGTACACAGCGCAGGGAATTGTGGGAATCTGATTAAAAATACGAGGTTAACA